AATTCTACAGGCTCCCCACTCTCTGGGTGATTAAATTTCTTCTCATCTCAGTCCTTAATGGCCTACCCTGTATCCTTAGACTGTGAGCCCTGGTTCTGGACACCCCAGTCATTGGGAACATCTTTCCTGTGTTTACCCTGTCTAGCCCTGTTAGGAGTGTTAAGGCTTTCAACGAGAACCCCCTCATTCTTCTAAATTCCAGTAAATATAATCTTAACTGAATCAGACTGTCTCTGTACCTCAGTTCTGCCAATCCATGAATCAGTCCGGTAAACCTTTGTTGCATTTCCTTTGGAATATCCTTCCGCAGATAAGGAGACCAAAACTGCACACAGTACTCCAGGTGTGGTCTCACCAAGACCCTGTACAATTGCAGCAAGACATCACTGCTGCTGTACTCGAATCCTCTCGCTATGAAGGCCAACATACTATTTTCCCTGATAAAACCTTTCTGAAGAAGGGTCTAGGCCCGAAACGTCAGCCTTCCTGCTCCTCTGATGCTGCTTGGCCTGCTGTGTTCATCCAGATCTACACCTTGTTATCTCAGATTCTCCAGCATCTGCAGTTCCTACTATCTCTGATACTATTTTCCTTCTTTGCCTGCTGCACCTACATGCTTACTGCAGTGACTGGTACACAAGAAGATCAGGTCACATTGCACATTCCCTTTCTCTCCGTTTAAAGCCATGCGCTATATTTGTTTTTTTAACGTTGGATTGGTGGAATGATAATTGAGTAGATAGAGAGACGGTCTAATTCAAATGTTATGAAAAGAAGACATAAAATTAAGTTAAAAACAGTGAATTACAAGGCGGCCGTGGAAACTGACTCAAAGAAAGAACTTGCCTCTATATAGCTCCCCCCGGGTTCTGAAGACACCACAAATGCCGATGAAGTATCTTTGCAAAGAAATCAATGCTAAAAAAACTGAAGTAGGGTCACTGGACCTGCAATGCTAACTCTGTTTCTCTCTCCGCAGAGGCTGCCAGACCTGCTGAGTTTCTCCAGCAATTGGTGTTTTTGATTGTAAGAAACACTTTAGCCAATTAACACTAGGTGAGCAAATGAACAATGTGATATGGACTAGATCGGTTGTTTTATTGTTTGGAGATATCATTACAACCTTAGTTCAAGGTCAGAAATCACATGACACCAGGTTATAGTCCAACAGGTTTATTTGAAAACACAAGCTTTTGGAGCCTCAGTCCCTCTTCATGTCATGTGATTTCTGACCTTGTCAACCCCTATCCAACACTGGCACCTTCACTTCACAATCTTGATTCAAACATGGACAAAAGAGCTGAATTCCAGGGGTGAGGTGAGAATGACAGCCTTTGACATCAAGGCCACATTACTTGAGTATGACATCAATGATCCCTCGCCAAACTGGAATCAGTGCATATCAAGGGGCAAACTCTCTACAGGTTAGGAGTCAAACTTGGTACATAAGTAGATGGTTGTGGTTGTTAGAGGTCAATCATCTCAGCTCCAGGACACCTCTGCAGGAGTTCCTCAGGGTCGTGTCCTCGGCCCAATCATCTTCAGCTGCTTCATCAGTGACCTTCCCTCCATCATAAGGTCAGAAGTGGGGATGTTCGCTGATGATTGCACAATGTTCAGCATCATTCGGGACCCATCAGATACTGAAGCAGTTCATGTTCACATGCAGCAAGATTGGGCAATATCCAAGTTCAGGCTGACAAATAGCAAGTAACATTCACACTGCACAAATACCAGGCAATGATTACGTCCAATAAGAGACAATCTAATCACTGTCCCTTGGAATTGAATGGTGTTACCATCACTGAATCCCCCACTATTGACATCCTGGGGGTTACCATTGACTAGAAACTCAACTGGATTCATTGTGTAACACAGCGGCTACAAGAGCAGATCAGAGGCTAGGAATACTGCAGTGAGTAATTCAACTCCTGACTCCCCAAAGCTTGTTCACCTTCTACAAGGCAAGTCAGGAGTATCGAAGATCCTCAGGCAGCACCTTCCAAACCCACAACAACTTCCCTCTTGAAGGACAAAGGCAGCAGATACTTGGGAACACCACATGCAAGCTCCCATCCAAGCCACCCACCGTACTGACTTGGAAAAATACTGCCATTCCTTCACTGTTGCTGAGTCAAGATTCTGGAATTCCCTCTCTAAGGACATTGTGGGTCAACCTATAGCACATGGACTGCAGCAGTTCAAGAAGACAACTCAACACCACCTTCTCAAGGGCAACAAGGGACAGGCACTAAATGCTGTCCCAGCCAGCGAAGTCCACACCTCACAAGTGAATAAAAAGAAGACACTGTAAGGGGGACAAAACACCTATCCTTCTTTTGAAACATCACGCCAGTTAAAAAATTTCTTTAACCACTACTTTGGTCATCTGACCAAAAACATTTCAAATGTGTTAGTGTCAAATTTTATCCAATAACCTCCTAATTTTGATTTGTTCATGAGATGCGGGCATCACTAGCTGGACCATATTTATTACCCATCCTTAGTTGCCCTGGAGAAGGTAGTGGTGAGCTGCCTACTTGAACTGCTGCATTCCATGTGCTGTGGGTTGATTCACTTTGCCATTGGAGAGGGAATTCCAGAATTTTGACCCAGTGATGATGAAGGAACAGTGATATATTTCCCAGTTAGGATGATGAGTGGCTTGGAGGGGAATGTGTATGGGTGGTGGTGTTCCCATGAGTCTGCTGTCCTTGTCCTTTCTAGATGGTAATTTTGTGGTTTTGGAACGTGCTGTCTGAGGATCTTTGGTGAATTTCTGTAGCGCATCTTGTGGATGGTACACACTGCTGCTACTGGGCGTCAGTGGTGAAGGGGTGGATGCTTGTGGATTTGGTGCCAATCAAGCGGGCTGCTTTGTCCTGGATGGTGTCAAGCTTCTTGAGTGTTGTTGGAGGTGCACTCATCCAGGCAAGTGGGGAGTATTCCATCACATTCCTGACTTGCGCCTTGCAGATGGTGAACAAGCTTTGGGGAGTCAGGAGGTGAATTCAGTGCAGGATTCCTAGCCTCTGAATCTGCTCTCGTAGCCCCCAATTTACACTGTATTTCACTGCAAATACTACATATGGGTAACACACAATGATAAATAAATATATCCAAAAGATTGGCATCATTTCTCAGCAAAACTCTCTTTTGTTACACACTGTAATCTTGCTCATCTTCATCTCCTGAGCCTGGACCTCAATCATTGAACCTGTCATCTTTCACTGACAGGCCAGAGACCACGTGGGTCAGAGTCACTTTCATGGTTGGAATTGCATCCATATCCTGATCAATTGGTAATTTTTCTAAAGCACTGTGACCAGAATTATTTGCAACAGCCCAGCTCATTCATAACCAGTGGCGTTTAAAATTTGAGCATGTTTTTTGCTGTTCTGCTCTCTCTCCCTCTATTTACAACCAGCAGGATCTCAAAGGCAATCTTCACAGCTTCATCAACCTTTCCTGCTACCTGTAAAGATTTGTATCTATCAACCTCCAGGTATCTCTGCTCTGCAAATCTTTTAGAATTGTGCCTTTTGGTTTATATTTGCTCTCTGCTCTCTTCTTCCTAAAATTCATCTAATTTGCTGGTCATAGAGCTTTCTGACATCGAATGAATAGAAGAAGTTGCCAACAGAATACTTCAAAGGTAATCCATTTCCTTTGATGGACATTGATTTTTTTTTCCTCATTCCTTTGTGAGGAGCCCTGGGATATTTTTCTGTGCAAAATGTGCTATAATAACTCAGAGGTGGTCTTTGAGAGTAAATTTCTGTAATATAGCTACAGCGGTAAGAACCAGAAGGTGGGAACTGAGTTCATCATAAAGTCCCTTGCTTCATCATATTATCTGTTTCTGAGTTTCATCCATTCCTTGCAACAAGCTTCCAGTCATCCGACATATTGAAGCTGATGGGTTTGTCAGTGGTGAATGAATTGGCAGGTTGATCAATATTTTAATTGTTGACACATTTCTTTCTGTCATATCCTACTATTTACCAACAACTTATAAATCATGTACTGATTCAATCAGCTGCAGACTATTTGTGCCTGTGTCACAAGTTTGCAGAATAAAATAAAACTCATTCTCCTTAAAGGGACATTGTGTCCTTTCAAAAGAATTATCATTTGAAAGATTTATAGATGATACAAAATGCTGACCTTTCTACTCCGACTCCCCCAGTCCCCCACCATCACACACTCTGATTAGTTAGTTCTCCTCAATGTTTCGCTGACCTTTAACTCTGCACTTCACCCTGTTCTCATTCAAGCCACGTTATCTCTAAGAGCATTCCCCACTTCCTCACCACTTTGATTCATCCAATGCTGACAGCAAAGAATGAGGCCATTTGGCCCACTCTGCTGCTGCTGCCTCTTTGAAAGTGCAAGTCTCTTAGTAATACTTCGCTTCCCCTCCCTGCCTTTCGCCTACAACCCTTGACTCTCATCCTCTTCAAATAGAGTCGTAGAGCTGGAGAGCATGGAAACAAACCCTTTGGCCCAACTTGTCCATGCCAACCAGATATCCTGAACTAATCTAGTCCCATTTATCGGCATTTAGTCCATATCTCTTTAAACGCTTCCTATTCATGTACCCATCCAGATGCCTTTTAAATGTTGTAATTGTACCAGCCTCCAACACTTCCTCTGGCAGCTCATCCCATACACGCACCACCCTCAGTGAAAAAGTTGCCCCTTAGGTCTCTTTTAAATCTTTCACTTCTCACCTTAAACCTGTGCCCTCTAGTTTTGGACTCCTCTCCCCTGGGGAAATGACCTTGGGTATTGTCCTGGATCACAGGATGTATCCAAGTGGTTCTTTTGGATTCTGTTAAACGTCATTAAGAGGAGACGCAACAACAGCAATTTGCTTAAATATGAACATTTATTGAGTAATAATAAATGACAAAAAAGAAAGGAACATCTATTGAGCAAATAAAACGAATGAAAAAGAGAGGAAAGAAACAATAAGCCTCACACCCTTCTGCCTGTAGGAGACCCCTCGATCAATGCTGGTCTACAGGCTGAGGTTGTCCCTGGTACCATTCGTGATCTCAATCCGAAGTGAAGTCCAGCACTTGGATTGAAACTTTCTCTCTTATACAGTGTAACAAATAGCCAGGCACTGAAAAACAATTACAGAAAAATATCTTCGGCACGTACAGGAATGTTCACAGGATGCATTCAAGGTCATGCAGCTGTTGAATATCATCAACAATTTTAGCCCTTCAGCCCATCCTATACTCCTACCTTTGTGGAAGAGAGCCAGCCCTCTGATATTTGACAGTACATGTTACAATTGCAGATGCAGATGCAAATCAGTGACGGCCATGCAAGAACGTAGAATAAGAGTATGTAACCTGTACTAGATGATTAAAACTACAATGAAAATAACTATCATCAATACAAACAATACAACAATGGGGTGTACCATCAAATTAACAATCTCAGTGGCCTTTGGGCACCAACCCTTAAATATATATCCCACCCTGATGTAGGGTCAAGGCCATGATGGAACCAGCAAGTCATACCAGGTGCCTGTCTGCCTCCAATGGGTTCAAAATTGAGAGGAGCCCACAGAGGATTAGTGTTTTCATGCTTACACTAATTACAGTAATATCCTTAATTACAATCACCATGCAATCACATCACTTACATATACTCAATTTATTCCAGCTCCCCTCCCAGAATCGAGGATCCCATTCTTGCTGAGAGACCCAAAAGCTGTGAGAGGGAGAGGGGAAAAATAAAGAGTGTGCCAGACTGGCTGGCTGTTAGTCAATTTTACATCTTTTCAGTTAATCTCTTTACATAATTTGCTGTAAAATGCAGTATATTCCAGATTCAGATTCCTTACTTTGTGTCTTTTTTATCCTCCAGTTCCCTCTCCACAGATCACTTCACCCGATAGCAGTAAAATAACATCACATATGGACTTGAAATTTCTCCAGCTCTCTTCATCTGTATCGATTGACAATACTTCTTCAATTGTTTCCCTTTTTTCTGATTTTATGAGTGATTGTATTATTGAGTGGTAACTACCTCCACAAGCAGGTACAGCCTTTCACTAACAATTTCCATGGGATCAAACAATGCAGCTGTACCGTTCATCAGGCTTTCCCTTCGACTTATGCCTTCCACCTTTTATTTTTCCCAGGGATTACCAGAGACTCCTACACCACCTGAGTCTTAGCTCAGCCGTTTTTCACATACACTAATTGTTCTAATACATTACAATTTCACCTACTGTTTTAGCCATACAAACGCTCAAGATGGGGTATCAGTATGCCATCTACTATTTCTCCTCTGTCAGTCTATTATTACTCCTCCCAGAATCCATATTCTTTCATTTCTGTAACATTTGACAAAATAACCAAAATAACCATAATTCTTCTTACATCCCTTTCACTAATACTACTTTCATTGTTTTAAAGTCAGTTTCTCCATGGATTTTTCGTCAGTTTCATATCGTTTAAACTATGTTTTTGTGCCCTTCCAAGCCGCACTAATCCTTTCATGAAATAAGTGTACATGTCTGAGACCTGTTCTTCAGTGCATGATTTTTACTGTCTCAGGTTTGTTACCTCTGAGGTAGTACTCACTTTTTCACATTTACACCGGTATCCCAAGACCATGTCACACGTTCTTGACTCCCACATGATCTTATCAAATGATCTATGAGGTTTTACTTACCTCTCCACGTATGGTCCTGATGCCTCAGGTAGTGGCTTGATCACCAAATCAGTCTTTCTTAAAAAGAAAGACAAGGACACAAATATCACCAAGAGAAAGCTATCAGTTTGCTGCTCTCATCTAAACTTCCTTTTCACTGTACCTTAATTGTCATTTCAACCCAATATTCTTTTTTTTTGTCTTCTGCCATCGGTCTCTACCCATAACTACTTCATCTCATCCAATTTTGCAATTTAACTATTACCATCATATCTAATTCCAGAGATCTGTAGAGATTTGAAAGTACATAGAACATAATCTTATAATATTTTAAAACAGAAGTCATACATTTCTATTTGATTCAACACAACATACTTTGTTCTTTCTCTAAGATGACACACATTTTTTAAAGTGACTTGATAATTCATTCTAGATACTTGATATATCTCTATGTAACTTTATCCAAATGCAATATTCTGTTTACTCCCTTAAAGTCACCAGTCATTATTGTATGCATTGAAACCACTGAGACTGTGCACATGCACTCTATCATTTCCCAGAATTTCTTTACATTTTCAAGTAACTATTCCATTTAAATGTTTTGGAATACGAGAGTATATGAATCTTAATACAGTTTTTGTCATGATGTGCTTAACTGTATCCAGGATCAGTGGTTTCGAGATTCCTGACCCTCACCAAAATGCATATTTCCACAGTATTTCCCCAACACTGAAATGTGTTATCGATGAATGGTTGAGGGTGCCTCATCCATCTTTGAGTTGCGATGTTGAAATTCTGAAAATGCGTTCAGCCTTCAATCTGTCCAATTTCTAAAACAAAACAAGCTCCATCCATTCCACATTGAGCAGAATGGATTAATTAGTATAAAGCTAGAAAAGATTCAAAAAAATGGGGGTGGGGCGTAAACTCCTGCGTGTAATTACATCATCCGTTCTCACCTTTGAAGGAAGGAAAAGCCACCCCTTTGTTAAATTTACCTTTCCTAAACTCCTCACCCACAGGGAGTTGTACTTTCCACCTTCCAATGTTGCTATCACTTGGATATTAACAATGAGTTAATTTTATCATCTGGAATTAAAGATTCACTCATGTGTCAAAACAATATTTGGAAGTTCATCCTGGCCAGAAAATGAAATCCCAAACACGGTAATTTCTGGAATTAAAATTTACCCAAGTCCAAATACAACACAGAGCCAATTCCAAATGGTAAATTTTTACCAAGATTTACGAACTAAATTTTTGAATCAATATTTCACAGATTTTTGCTTTACACAACCACTGATGGTTTTTCCACACAGAACAGGCACACAACAAACTTCAAATCACAATACTTTCCCAAAATGCAAACTAACTTCAAAGTATCCCCAGATCTCGAGCTTCAGGGAATAAAAAGATGCAAATAGTAAAGACAACATTTAGCAACCAACAATCAAAGGTATATTCAAACCAGAGCGGAAAGAGTTAACACTTCTGCAAGGTTCAGTGCACTTACACAGTGCAGAAACCTAGCCTCCAGTTCTCTCTTTTTCCAGTTATAACTGTCCCCCATCCTTTAGGGGGTTCTAACTGTGCTAACATATTAGCTATAGACCTGAATCCAGAGTCTGCTGCATTCCACCCTGGAATATGGAAAGTCTGCTGAGCATCAGGTTGCTTTTCCCTTTTCTTGCACATTTTGCCAACCCCATCCTTGTTGCCAAAAATGTTTTGGATCAGAGGGTGTATCCAAGTGGTTCTTTTGGACTCGGTTAAATGTAGTTAAGACTTTAGCAATTTGCTTAAGTATGAATACTTATTGAGTAATAATAAAAGACGAAAAAGGAAAGCAATATTTATCATGTAAATAAAACTAAAATCAATAAGCCTCACACCCTTCTGCCTTTTGGGGACCCCTCGATTGATGGCTGGTCTGGAGGCTGAGGTTGTTCCTGGCACCGTTTGCGATCCTGGTCCAAGATGAAGTCCAGCAACTTGGAACGAAACTTTCTCTCTTATACAGTGTAACAACAGGCCAGGCACTGACAAACAATTAAAGAAAAATGTCTTTGGCACATACAGGAATGTTCACAGGACTCATTCAAGGTCGTCCAGCTTTGGAATATCATCAACAATTTAGCCTTCAGCCCATCCTATACAGCTATTCATCCTATCCATGTTCCTCATGATTTTATAAACCGCTATAATGTCACTCCTCAGCTTCCGATACTCCAAGGAAAAAAGTCCCAGCCTATTCAATCTTTCCCGATAGCTCAAACCCTCCAACTCCAGCAACATCTTTGTAAATCTTAATGTTGATCCAATTCCCATTTAACGTCATGTTTGAATCAGCCTGTGCCCCATAGATTCCAGATCCAAGTCATTCCCCATATAACAAAAGCTTTTCTTCATGTGGCTATTGCTTTTTTGGCAAATCATCCTGAGTCAGCCTGGTTTGCTTCTCAAACCTTCCACTGACAGAAAGAGCATCACCATTTCTCTTGCCCAGGAAATCCACCTCTTTTTGTTTAAATTTGTTTCCCACAACTTCCTCTACTCATTGAGTTCTGTGCTAAATGTATCCCTTTCTTTAGATATAATCAAAACGGCAAGAATTAACCCATCTTCAAAATATAATCCCTCCAAAACTGAGAAGCATGTTGTAGCCTCATAGTCTCCCATTTTTCTACGTTCAAGACCCTTAATGAAGATTCCACCACACTGCTCCTTGCGGTTCCACAATGAATCCCTACAGTGTGCAAAGAAACCATTCAGCCCATCGAGTCCACACTGACCCTCCTAAGAGCAACCCACCCAGACCCACACTCCTGCATTCCCCATGGCTAACTCACCTGGCTTGCACATCACTGGACACTATGGGCACTTTAGCACAGCTAACCAATCTAACCTACATATCTTTTGACTGTGGGAGGAAACCTAAGCAGACACGGAGAGAACGTGCAAACCACCCAAAGAAAGTTGTCCAAGGTTGGAATTGAACCTGGGTCCTTGGCGCCATGAGACAACATGCTACCCCTGACTTTCTGGGTTTCTCCAGCAATTTATGTTTTGTTTCAGAATTCTCGTATCTGCTGCTTTTTGGTGTATGACATTACACTGTTCCTCTTCAACCCTTTCATTGACTCTCTCTTTTTATGTCCTGGGGCTGACTCCTTTGGTTTCTGATAACGCTTCCGGCCTCAAGTTAATCAATTTTCCAGCCTGTCAGCGTGGACTCTGCCAGATGGGCAGAAATAGAATACACTATGTTTCTCCTAATTTCCTAGCAAGGACACCTTCAGTCCTACCAATCTTTCTTCTTCAAAACATTTTGTGGATTAATTATTTCAATAGAAACATCATCCAAGGATGATGGCACTGAATCATTCAGCTCATTTGAATAGCCAAAATAGACAAGATGGACCAAACGGCTAGCAAACACACCATAATACTTCTG